AAGGGAGCAGAGTTGCCGTCCCAGTGGGCTTGGAAGGCAGAGCTGATGCCCAGGGCCGAGGGGCCTCCACTCAGAATCCAGAGAGTGCGGCCAGAGTCTGGAGGACAGGGCCATTGCCTAAATGGTATCAGAGAACAGAGTTATTTTCAAGCCTTGAGAGCTAATGTAATGTGTTCTGCTGACTTGCTTGGTGCCTGTTAACCCTTCTTTCCCTCCAGTTTCTCCTGTTCGCAATGGAAGTGTCTAGCTTGTGCCTGTTCCACCATTGTACTTTGGAAGCAGAAAAACTTGTATTCTAGATTTCACAGATGAAGAGGAATTTTGCCCCAGGGTGGAATTTGCACATGGAGTTGATTTAAGACTTTTGGGATGATATGATGGGGTGAATGTGTTTTACATGTGGCAAAGACATGAATTTTGGGGGCCAAAGTGTGGAATGTTATGAATTGAATTGTGTCTCTCAAAAATGTGTGTCAACTTGGCTAGGCCATGATTCCCAGTATTGTATGGATGTTCACCATTTTGTGATCTGATGTGATCATCCTATATGCTGTAAATCCTAAACTCTGTGATGCTAATGAGACAGGATTAGAGGCAGTTATGTTAATGAGGCAGGACTCAATCGACAGGATTATGTTGTATCTTGAGTCAATCTCTTTTGAGATATAAAAGAGAGAAGCGAGTAGAGAGGAGGGGGACCTCATACCACCAAGAAAGAAGAGGCAGGAGAAGAGCACGTCCTTTGGATCCAAGGTCCCCGTGTTGAGATAATCCGAGACCAAGGGAAGATTGATAATAAGGACCTTCCCCCAGGAATGACAGAGAGAGAAAGCCTTCCCCTGGAGCTAGTGCCCTGAATTAGGACTTCTAGCCTTCTAGACTGTGAGAGAATAAATTTCTGTTTGTTAAAGCCATCCACTTGTGGTATTTCTGTTATAGCAGCACTAGATAACTAAGACTCTGACTCGTAATGAAAATCAGCGTTTAGAACATTTAGTAGAGAATTAGAGACAAATTCTGACATTTTCTCTCCATTTCTGACTGCCTGACTGTTGTACTAAATTTGATAACTTTTGCCTGCAACTTTTGTCTCTATAGAGGAAATACTTCATGTATGCGTACATACATATATATATGCGTATGCATCTATATGGAGCCCTGGTAGCACAGTGGTTAAGAGCTTGGCTGCTAACCAAAAGGTCCTCAGTTTGAATACATCAACTGCTCCTTTGAAACCCTATGTCCCATAGGGTCGCTATGAGGTAGAATCAACTCAATGGCACACAACAGCAGCAACAACATATATATGTATATATATAATAGGTTTACCGAGATATAATGCATGGACGTTTCCTATAAATGGAATCATAATATGTAGTCTTTTGGTCTGATTTCTTTCACTTAGCATAATGTTGGACATTTGGGTGGCTTCCATCTGTTGGGTATTATCAATAATACTGCTGTGAACATTTGTGTACAGGTTTTTACGTGGGCATATGTTATTGTTTCTTTTGGGTATATACCTAGGAGTGGAATTGCTAGGTCATGTGCTAATTCTGTTTAACTTTTCTTTTTCAATTGTGGGAGAATATATACATAACCCAACATTTGCCAATTCAACTTTTTTTTCCTGTGTTTAACTTTTTGAGGAAGTGACAGACAGCTGCACTATTTTGTATTCCCGCCAGCAATGTATGACAGTTCCAGTTTGTCTGCATCTTTGCCCACACTTGTTACTGTCCATCTTTTTGGCCACAGCCATCCTTATGGGTGGGAAGTGGTATCTCATTGTGGTTTTGATTTATGTTTCCCTGATGGCTAATAGAATACTTCCTTTTTACCCTCATATTTTCTTATTGTTTTTGGAGTTAAATAAAGACAATACTGCCGGAGATGAAGGGGCACAGTTAATGCTGGCTGCCATAACTTTCTCTAGGGCATCACGGTTTGTTGCCTTACACTGCAAGGGGCCGCCAAGAGCAGGACTGTGCTCCAGGTGTTCTCTTCCGTTCTTGTGTCCATTCACTCACCATCCAGAATCCTGGGAGGGAGAGATGATTGTCCTGCTTGGGTCAGGTGCCCACCCCTTTGGTCCCTAGTTCTGCCTAGACAGTGTACAGCGGAAGTGTGGAGCTCCTGGGAGGAGATGAAGGTGCACTTGGGAAAGGATACCTAACAGGAAAACATAAAAAAAAAAAAAAAAAGTTGCTATTGTGTTGATTCTGACTCATGGCGACCCTATGTGTGTCAGAGTAGCACTGTGCTCCATAGGGTTTTCCGGACCTTTTGGCAGCAGATTGCCAGACCTTTCTTTTGCGGCACCTCTGGGTGGACTTGAACTTCCAACCTTTGGTTTAGTAGTTGAGCGGGTTAACCACGTGCACCACCCAGAGACTCCTTGGGAAGGGAGAATGGATACTACCTTTGGGACCAGAATCCAGGCTTCCTGCCCCCCTGGGTGTACTCCACTGCCATGGTTGGCAGCCAAGCTGACCACCTTAGAAAGCTTATCATGCAGGTCGCTAATAATTATGCCCCAGCACACATTATAATGGGGAAAATAAAATATGCTGTACTAAAAGCACATGATGTTTAAACTTTATCTATCCCCTTCTTGGGTACATGGCATGCTTCAAAAATATGATCTCATTTGATCCTCTGTAATCTCTGCTGGGGGCCCTGGTGGTGCAGTGGTTAAGAGCTCAGCTACTAACCAAAATGTCAGTTGTTCGAATCCACCAGCCGCTCCTTGGAAACCCTATGGGGCAATTCTGCTCTGTCCTATAGGGTCGCTATGAGTTGGAATCAACTTTATGGCAATGGTTTTTTTTTTTTTTTTTTTTTTTTGTTGTTTAACCTCTGCTAGTTTCTAGTTATATTCTATAGAGGTATTAATAGTGTATGCTTCAGCCTCTTTTGTGGTTTGCATACACTTTTGTGAACTAGCCTGATTCTCCAACCACCAACAACTGATTTAGTGAGAAAACATGTTCTGAGTTCCAGACATAGAACAGACACGAGTGCCCCGAAGTCAACGTGTTTGTGAGCTGGGTCATCGCTGGTGGGTAGGCTCCTACCAGGAGGTGGGACTAGATGCTGGGAAGCAACCTTCTGTCCTGGACCTGGTTCCAGGCCACCAGGGGTATTGGCTGGGGACTCAGCAGTGCCAATATGGGTGGCACGAAGGACCACTCCACTAGAAGCAGTGTTGAATGAATACCCCAAAGCCTAAACCTGTTGCTGACGAGTCACTTCCGACTCATAGTGACCCTACAGGGCAGTGTAGAACTGCCCCACAGGGTGTCCAGGGAGCGGCTGGTGGGTTCAAACTGCCAACCTTTTGGTTAGCAGCTGAGCTCTTAATCACTGTACCACCAGGGCTCCTGAATAAATACAATCCTCAGGTATTCCTTAAGCAAATTGCATCTAAGGGATCTGCAGGAAGGTTTTTGTTGGTGTTAGGTGTCCTCAAGTCAACTCTGACTCATGGTGACCTCATGTGCAACAGAAGGAAACGTTGCCCAGTCCTGCAATGCCATCTTCATGATCGCTGTCATGTTTGAGCCCCTTGTTGTGGCTACTGTGTCAGTCCACGTCACTGCATGTTCATATAACAGTTCTCTAGCGCTTTCTGTCTAGCAGGCAGCTGACCAGGGTTCAGCTGCTTGCAGTGAGAATTGTTATTGTCATTAGATGCTGTCAAGTCAATTCCAACTCATAGCCACCCCATGTACAACAGAACGAGACACTACCCAGTCCTGCACCATCCTCCTAATTGTTGCTATGCTCTAGCCCATTGTCGCAGCCACTGTGTCAATCCGTCCCATTGAGGGTCTTCCTCTTTTTCTCTGACCCTCTGCTTTACCAAGCATGATGTCCTTCTCCAGGGACCGGTCCCTCCTGATAACAGGTCCAAAGAATGTCTCTCCATCCTTGCTTCTAATGAGCATTCAGGCTGTACTTCTACCAAGACAGACTTGTTCGTTCTTCTGGAGGTCCATGGTCTATTCAATATTCTTCACCAACACCATAATGAGAATAGCTGAACCAAAATGGCGGCTCAGGATTTAAAGGACCCCCCTGGGTTTCAGAGCAGATGTTGTCAGGTAGAGACAATTCTTCTGAATGTCCTGGTGAGACGGAAGTACTTTCTCTGGGTCTTTTTTGAGGGGTGCAGTCTCCTTGTCCTCCTCATGCCATCGTCCTTGCAGTATTGGGCGGGAGCCATGATTGCTGGCGTCCTGGCCTCTGTGAGCTGCTCCAGAGTACGGATTATCAGACAAACGCCACTACTGTGTCCACTAACAGGCCACTGCGAACATTTCAGTTGGTGCTGTCAGGAGCCCAGCCAAGCACAGGATTTATAACGTGGCAGCACGGGTTGCATTTGTAATTCTGATGACTCTTAAAAACAATCACTTCATTTAGGTTTCTCCCTTTCAATCCAGGTATTCTTCAGCGGAAATAAGGAAGCAGTTCACTCTCCCACCAAACCTCGGGCAGTGCCCTCGACAGAGCATAAGCACCGCGGGCTTTCCCTCGCTTCAGCTAGTAAGTATGAGTCGCAGGCGTGCTCAGCGAACGGTCAAGGGCGGAAGTGCCAGCTTGTGCCTTTGCTGCTTGAATCACCTTAGGTCTGCCCTGGCCACCATACACTATCCCATGGCCGCCTCCTGACTCCATGCCCGATTACTGACCTCAGGCAGTTTCCCTCTGTCCTTCCACCACCCGGACTTAGAGTGGAAGTCGGACCTCCTGGGGCTGTGGTTCTGAAGTTTCTGGACCTAGTGGGCTTCCAGAACAACAAACCAGTTACCATCAAGTCAGTTCCGACTCTTGGCGACCCCATGTGTGTCAGGGTAGAACTGTGCTCCGTAGGGTTTTCAGTGGCTGATTTTTTGGAAGTAGATCGCCAGGCCTTTCTTCCCAGGCACCTCTGTGTGAAATTGAGCCTCCAACCTTTTGGTTAGTAGCTGAGCACTTAACCGTTTTTGCCATCCAGGGACTACCTAGGGGGCTTCCAGGCTGCATAATTTCGCCCAAATTATGGTTTATAGTTTTTGGGCGGGGGGGACTAGCTTGGAGCCTTACCACCCTCTGTGGCATGCTTTTATTGGAAGAATGTATTTCAAAGTCCCCAAAGCCAAGTTACAAACCCTCATTTTTTAAAATAGTTTTTTAAGGTATGATTTATGTAGAATTCACTCGTTTTTCACAGCTTGATGAATTTTGGAATTTACAGTCATTTAACCTCTCCCACAATCAAGATACAGAACAGCTCCTTTACCCTAAAAAGTCCCCAGTGCCCCTTTGAAGTCGGTCTCCTCTCCCAAGCCCTGGCCCCAGGCAATCGCTCATCACTATAATTTTGCCTTTTCTGGAACGTCATATAACCGGAATCTGGAATCATACAGTGTGTACAAGCCTGCAGTTTTGAAACACGCTCTCTTTTTTTGAGTTGAAGATGGCCTTGTTGTTGTTGGTTGCCGTTGAGTCCACTCTGACTCATGGTGACCGCATGTGCAACAGAACAACATGCTGCCTGATCCAGCGCCATGTTCACAATCACCAGCGTGTTCCAGTCCATCACTGTGGCTGTGGTGCCCGTCCACCTCACCGAGGGTCTCTCTTGCCCTCGCTGACCCTCTGCTTACCAAACGCCATGTCCTCCTCCAGCAAGTGATCCCTCCTGAGGATGTGTCCAAGGCAAGCGAGTCAGACAGTGTTCTGTTGTGATCCACAAGGATTTCACTGGCTGATTTTCAGAAGTAGATCGTCAGGCCTTTCTTCCTAGTCTTGCTGAATCTGGAAGCTCCGCTGAAACCCGTCCACCATGGGTGACCCTGCTGGTGTTTGAAACACTGGTGGCCTAGCTTCCAGCATCACAGCAGCATGCAAACCACCACAGTAGGACAGACTGACAGATGGGCGGTGACAAGATTGCCTACATTTTTATATTAACACCGATCGTTGAATTAGTGTTCTTACATGTGTTAAATTATTTTTGGACTAAATGCTAGACATGTGCCAAGTGAAGTAAATCTGACTTCACTGAGACAGTTTGTAAAACCAGAAGTGAGTATTGGTTTCTCATGTGAGAGAACTTCAATCACCACGGCGCTCACTTCCTCAGGCTCTGCCAGTGCCTCTTTTCTTGCTCTGGTAGTTATCTTGAGGAGGCTAGCTTAGGTTTTTTGGTTTTTTTTTTCCCCTCACTTATTACTTCAAAACCACTTCTGCTCTTAGAAATTTTGTAACCTTCCACTGTTTCCTGTGACCGCCATTTTGTCGTCTGTACCAATTTACACGCTGTGAAACTGTATCTCTTAACGGTATGTTTACTGGAGTGATTTGGGATTATTTCAGTAGGATCATTTGTGTGTTGGGTCGTTAATGAAATGTGTAGGACTGAAAAATGTATAGCACCTTTTACTGCAAAGACGTAGCTTGTGATGACATTTCTTAAAAAAAAAAAAATCCGTTTATGATTTCTGGGCTGGCTAGCCTGCCCTTTTTATTTGTACTTTTTTTGGTCTTGTTTTGTAATTACAGATTATAATAAGAGCATGCCAAGTGCATAATGTTTGTGTTTTCAGATATATTAGATAAGCTGTAAACAAAGATATATTACATATGCTTTTTGGCTGAATTTGGTGCTAATATATATTGAATTAGGAACCCTGGTGGTGCGGTGGTTAAAGTGCTCAGCTGCTAACCGAAAGGTTGGCGGTTCAAACCCACGAGCCGCTCCTCGGGAGAAAGATGTGCCAGCTGCTTCTCGGGAGAAAGATGTGGCAGTCTGCTTCTGTAAAGATTGCAGCCTTGGAAACCCTATGAGGAAGTTCTGCTCTATCCTGTAGGGTTGCTGGGAGTTGGAATCGACTCGATGGCAACGGGTTTCTGTCTGGGTATATAATTGAAAACTAAGATGATGATTATTATTTAAATTTCTGACTCAAGTTGTATTAAAATACACAGAATATAGTTCAAAAGTGACTGGATACGCTTTTATATTTTAAACAAAAGGGGGGTCTCGGTGCTTTGCTTTTTTGTAAATTAAGGCTGCGGCTTTCTGCAGTGGCTGCCTGGAAAGTAGCTTGACCATCGCTGCTGTTACAAAGCTTTAAGGAAGTTTAGCTCAGAGGCTTGGACCTCTTCCTTCTCTACACGACAGCTTTTATTTTTTTTTATTCAAAGTCACAAACAAAAAATCGCTCAGTATTCATAGGTGTTCTTTCGATAGCTAAGCTGCCTCCTCCAGAGGTTTGGACGAAAGTGGATTTTTATGAATTACTTCATTATCTAGGTAGCCACGTTAGCCTGCGGCTTAACTACCCATGTCCTGAAAGAAGTAGCACAAATGTTAAACTATCCAAGAATCACGTGTTCCTCCCCACCGTGATTTATTCCTGGCTCTGTTTGCAAACGAATATCCTTTCAAATCTCTTTCTCCTGCATATTCCAGGTTCACTTCCTGATTATCTTTTCCTGGCTCTTTACTCCAACGTCCTCAGCACAGGCATCTCTTTGCCTTTGTTCCTTCTCGTGAACCGTCTGAAGAGCAGGGTCATGCGGGAGCCCGGTGGCCTGGAGCTGATTCCTTTTTTTTTTTTTTTTTAGATAGTTGGTCTGCTTAGAAAACCTCATGACTGCAGTGTTTACCTTTATGTCGTGTTGTAATGTCGAAATGGAGTAATCTTCCCTGGAGTGAGCTTCCCAGATGAAAATTTCTCCAGTCTAAGTCATCCACTTAGTATGCTGATTTCCCTTGGCCTTAAAAAAAAATATTTTTTTTCGCAGAAAAATAATGGAACATTTTTTAAATGGAACATTCATTTCTGGCAAGGCCAAGGAGTAGCTTATCGTCTAAGCACTCCCAGCCTGAAGCAGCTTTAGAACTTAAGCAAGGGGCCGGGGACTGTTCGTTGTGTTCTTTGGACAATTGAAAAATGAGAACAAGTGCATTTTAGCTTTTGTTTCTCTTACCTTTATTTCTATCATCACTATATCAGCAGCCCCACGTGCTGACCAAGTGATTGGTTAATTTTAAAAAGTATTTCATTGGAGTAAAATTATTTACACCCCAGGCGTTTCCCGGATCAATTGATTGCAAGTTCGTTGTTGTTTTGTGAAGAGTCAGGAACATACAATCAGATGGATGTGGGATGAAATGTATCTCTGCCACTTATTAGTTATATAACTTTGGGCAAATTATTTAACCTCCCTGAGCTTCAGTTTGTCATCTGCAAGACTGGCTTAACACTGCTACTCCCTTTAGGGTTAATATAGAATTATATAATAGATGCTGTGCGAAAAGGAGCTAATATTGCTGTCGTATGTATTTGGTGGAGTCCCTGGCTGGTGCAAGCAGTTAATGTGCTTGGCTGCTAACCGAAAGGTGGAGGTTTGAGTCCGTCGAGAGGCACGTTGGAAGAAAGGCCTGGAAACCTTCTGAAAGATCAGCCATTGAAAATGCTACGGAGCACAGTTCTACTCTGACACACATAGGGTTGCCGTGAGTCAGAATCAATGGCAGCAACTGTTTTTATGCATTTGGCGCTACCGAGATGCTGTGGGTGACGAGAAGAAAAGAGATCTGAGATATTTTCGGTTCTGAAGGGCTTTATGATGTATCTGGAAGGACAGGTAACATCGAGGACACATACTCGTGTCCCGTGTGGATGGCGTTCAGAAGAGACTAGGGTCCATGATGTAACGGGAGGAAGGGGCGTCTGGAGGAGGCTGAGAAGAGCCGGGGGAGGGGTCTCAGCCCTGGCTGCACACTGCAGTCCCTTGGAGACCTCTTAGAAGACACCTGTGGCCAGGCCCACCCCAGAGCCGACACTTCAGGATCTCTGGGTATTTTTAAATATTAATTACTTCAATATTTTAAATATTTAAAATACATATGTAATAATTATTCATTTTAAATATTTGTTTATTCATTATTAAATGTATATTTAAAGTATTTCAGATGTTAAAGATCTCAGATTTTATTGGTCCCTGGGACTCTAACGTGCTACCCGGGATGAGAATCATTAGCTCAGCTGCTAACTGAAAGGTTGGAGGTTTGAGTCCACCCAGAGGCACCTTGGAAGAAAGGCCTGGCAATCTAGTTCTGAAAAAACAGCGGTTGAAAACCCTATGGAGCACAGTTCTATTCTGAGACACATGAGGTTGCCATGAGTTGGAACTTACTCAAGGGTAACGGTTTGTTTTGTTTTTACGTAGGTAGAAGCATTCCAAACAGGGGGAAAAGCGTAAAGAAAGGTCAGGTTTATCTTGCTGTCCTGGTTGCTCTCAATTTCAGAATGTGGGATACGCAAGGACCACTTGCTAACGCTCTGAGTCTGTTGTTGGATGCCGTTGAGTCTAGAGGACTCATAGCAACCCTGTAGGACAGAGTAGAACTGCCCCATAGGGTTTCCTAGGTTGTAATCTTTACAGGAGCAGATGGCCAGGTCTTTTCTCCCTCAGAGCAGCTGGTGGGGTCAAACCTCAACCTTTCTGTTAGCAGCCGAGCGCTTAACCGTTGCACCACCAGGGCTCTTTCCTTATGGAAATACAGCAGTTTCTGTCATAAAGCCGATAAATCCAGTGAGAGCAAGGGAGGTAGTTGGATTGTTTTCTTTTGTTAGGTTTTTGTCTTTTAGCTCTGATGGTAAATATTAGCTGTGGGGGTTGTGTGAATGTACATTTTCAAAGTAGATAAAGCATCTTCAGGTTTTGAATTTTTGTGTATGAAGGAGTCCCACCACTTTGAATTGTTTCTCTCGGCGTGATGGGGTGTTGCCCTGAGTCTGTTTGACACTCCAGCCCAGGGTCCTCGGTGACAAGTGACAGAGGGAGTGGCTCTGGGGAGTTAATATCCCCGTGTGGGGGGTCACCCATTGTCCTGAACGTTCTTCCTGCCCACAGCCAAGTGGACAGACCCTCTGATGCCAGCTGCCTGTTGCTGTTGTTTTTGGGTGCTCTTGAGTCTATTCTGACTTACGGCAACCCCCGAGGGTTTTCTACGCTATAATCTTTACAGGAGCAGATTGCCAGGCCTTTCTTCCATGGAGCCGCTAGGCAGGTTCAAATCATCCACCTTTTGGTTAACAACCAAGGGCTAACTGTTGGCCACCAGGGCTCCTTATGTTTGATGTCTTGGTTAAGATGAAACTTTAATTTACCAAAATTATTTTCTGATTATTGAAATTGGAAAGGCGAGTGGAAACACATACAAGAGAAGAAGGAGTTGGACTCTGTGTTCTAAGGAGCAAGGAGGATGTGAGACACCGTGTAAATGGTTAATAACCTCAACCGACGTTTTAACTGAGGGAAAAATCCTATTTTTAAAAATGAGAATAGAAAAGTTTCGAAGTGAAATGGAATGAATCAGCTGGACCGTAACGGCTCCGGCTGAAGGAGGTAAAAAGCCACATCCTGGATACAAACCAAAAACCATGGTTACAGGCAATATTTGTTTTTTGAAATTGTACTTTAGATGATTACAGAGCAAATTAGTTTCTCATTAAACAATTAATATGCATATTGCTTTGTAACATTGGTTGCCAACCCCACTACATGTCAACACTCTCTCTCTCAAACTTGGGTTCCCCATTACTAGCTTTCCTGTCCGCTTCTGCCTTCTCGTCCTTGCCCCTGGGCTGGTGTGCCCCTTTAGTCTCGGTTTGTTTTATGGGCCTGTCTAATCTTTGGCTGAAGGGTGAACCTCAGGAGTGACTTCATTACTGAGTTAAAAGGGTGTCCGGGGGGGCCATACTCTAGGGGTTTCTCTAGTCTCTGTCAGACCAGTAAGTCTGGTCTTTTTTGTGAGTTAGAATTTTGTTCTACAGTTTTCTCCAGCTCTGTTCAGAACCCTCTATTGTGATCCCTGTCAGAGCAGTCAGTGGTGGTAGCCGGGCCCCATCTAGTTGTGCTGGACTCAGTCTGGTGGAGGCCGTGGTAGTTGTGGTCCATTATTCCTTTGGACTAATTGTTCCCTTGTGTCTTTGTTTTTTTTCATTCTTCCTTGCTCCAGACGAGGTGGGATCAGTGGAGTATCTTAGATGGCCGCTCACAAGCTTTTAAGATCCTAGACGCTACTCACCAAAGTAGGATGTAGAACATTTTCTTTATAAACTGTGTTATGCCAGTTGAGCTAGATGTCCCCCGAGACCCAGACTGTGTCAGGGGGTGCTCAGTGCTGTGAAGAACAAAATGGGGAAAGGGAATAGGGAGCAGCAGGAGGAGGTGCTAGTTTAGATTGGGTGGTCAGTGAAGGCCTCTATCTGGACAGGAGACACTTAAACACTGAATGAACTTGAGCTACAGAGCATATTTGTAT